TAATCTTAAAAAGTACAAGAAATTTTTTAGTAAGAAAGAAAAAATTTCTTATATGAGTTGTTATTGAATATTTGAAACTCAAATGAACATTATTTATATTATTTTGTCTTTAAAAGTATTCAATTGTTCCATACACTATTAAGAAATAATATGGTGATTTCCTACATTATTTTTTTTTAAACTTACAAAATACTTTCAGAAGAAATGTCCAACTTTCTGGTGCTACACATTCTGTATATGTAATTACAATTATAATTATGAAACAAATTCAAAAAAGTACTATTAAATTCTACAACTTAATATAAAATTTTTTTACATAATTATTAGTCTTATTAAATAAAAGTAATAATTTTAATGTAAAAACTTTAAAATTTTTATAATTAAAAAAACAACTAAATTAAAAGTTAAATTAAATGAAACAAAAAATAAAACAAACAAATAATAATGCCATTCATCAGTAATAATAAATTATTTATATCATTAAGGAATTTATTAGTGCAATTCTAAATGAAATCAAAAATATATTCTAGCCTGGCAATTTTGTTAACTACATTAGGATTATTCTTAAAATGTTATTCATTTAATAAAAACATAAAATTTGACAAACTTTTTGACCTTACTCAAAATCTGAATCAGGTCAAATTTAGCATTCTGTTTGCAATGCTTCATGGAACATGACATTTTATCATAATGTATCACATTCCATGAATAATTACAAAAAGTTATTCATTATTCACACATTTAAGTATATAAAGAGTTTAGCAGTTTAATTAAATTCTCTTTGTATCAGGCATATCTTAACCATACATAAATATGGTTAAGATATGCATAAGATATGTTATTCATATCTTAACCATACATAAGTATGGTTAAGATATGCATAACATAATTTATCTATAAGATATCTATAACATATCTATACATAACATAATTTTCAGCTCTATTCTAATACTATAAAAATTTGGTCAGTTAGATAGTCAAGCTACTACTCTGAAGATAAACATACACTTGGTGGGCAGATTATGTGAACAGAGTAAACCCTGCAGTCGAATGGCATCAGTGCATACCCACTAGGCACAATGCAGTAGCAGATTACATGGAATTTATAGCAAAAGAGTGAAAGGTTTCAGATGAAAATTTTCAGTATATTCTCTCAGTCCATGAAAAATTAGTGGTAGTGAGTTGCCTATTATTAGCAGATGCTATAAATTATATAATTGTTTGTAGTTTTGCACTAGAGAAACTGAAAGGAATATACTCGTGTGAGAATCCGGGGCAGATACTTTTTGTTTAAATTGATAAAATTTAAAAATTTTAACACACAAAACATTTTTTGTTTGTAGTTATGAGTCAGAGAGGAACTTTTTTTTCATTTTAGAAGGGAGTTCCTGAGGAGAGTTGTTGACTTTGATATCAACCCAACAAGGAAGTTCCTTATTGCTTCTCTCTTCAGGTGACTCAAATCATCCTTAATTATTGAACGAATGAAATCCTATAAATAGAGCCAAACACAAACACCCAAGGCTGGAACTGAAAACCAAACTCTCAAGAAAGTTTGTGTCAGAAACCAAAAGAGTTTCCTGCCAAATGCAAGAACCAGCCTGCCAATGATTCAGAAGAAAATAAAGAGCTGAGATGAGGTATTATATTTAACTCAAATATGTAAACTCTCTCTCTTAGATTTAGTTTTTTGGATTAGATTCAAAATTCTCTTATCTGTATTCATATTGATGTTAACCATTTTGTTATTGATGTACTCCTTCATGTATAGATGATAGTTATAGTTATGTTTTAATAAATAGATAGATATATTCATAAAGAATTGTAGTTGTTTAGTTTTATGCCCAATTCCATTGTCGGCCTACAAACCTTAAATCATGTAGAAATTTTTGTGTTTAATAAACCCTACTAAAATTCCGGTCAAGTTAAACATATCTCTAATCACTAGGAAGATAAGATAGACTAATTTGCTAGTTGGGATGCAAGTAAAATCTATCCTAGCTGGTGTCAAGGACTGATGAAATGATTTTTATGAATCTTCTTCTTAATTAATTTTACCATCCTGTATGTAAAAAAGGGTTAACTCAGAATCCCAATCTCACAGACTTACTTCTAGAATAACCAAAACGGTGCTTAAATCGCTTTAATTTGTTTCACTAACGTTTTCGAATCTTTTGGTTCTTCTTCAAGTGAAAAATAGGCAAATCCGTTAAGATTCGATTGAAACGATCTTTTTTTAAAAGAATTCCGAACATGGAACTTCTTCGAAACTCGTGCAATCGTCGTCATCCTTTGCGCATGCGCCGTTGTGAGCCTACGTTTCCTCCCGTTATGTGTCATATATCAGGGTTTGCCATGCTACTGATAATGATATTTCATCTTTGCTGTTTATACAATTGTTACCCTGAGTTGCTTTATGTATAAAAATCGCTTCCATCAAGCGCAAATATTGTGTTTGGTGCGTGGTGTATATTATCTTGGCTTGATCAAATAACGGTTGTATCTCAGGGTCCGTGGCGTACTGTGCTAAGGCGGTTGTTGGCCTCTTGTGGAGGATGTCAGCTTTATGTTCCTTAATCCTCACTCCTAAAGATCTCTTTGTGGAGCCGATATATAACAATTCTTCATCGCATCTGCGATCCCTAATTGGGATGCTGTATACTCCAGCCATCATGTCTTGTTGCGGAGTATCTTTCGCATTACTAAGCAGTCGAAATAATGTAGGACCTCTTCTAAATACAATGAAAACTTGTCTTTTCTTAGCTATCTCTTTATATAGTTTCTCCAAATACGGATTATACGTTATCGATACTCTTTCCTTCTGTTCTTTCTCTAGCGTTTCCGGACGATCTGCTCTTTGCGGATGAAGCATTTTTTTGGCTAAGGTAGTTATCAGTTTACTATACCCATGCCGTTCAGCAATACTCTTAAGTATGTTGATTTCTGTTTCAAATGCATGCGATGTCAAAGAGTGCGTATAAGCCCTTTTAACCAAGGTGTTAAATGCCGCTACAGTGGAACCCCGGTTAACGAACTTAATCCGTTCCGCGACTCCGTTCGTTAACCGAAGCAATTTTTCCCATAGAAATTAATGTAAATGCAATGAATCCGTTCTAGTCTCCAAAATTTTTGTGATTTTATTTGTAATATACAGTAATTTTCTTTGATGAAAATGTAAGAAAACGTAGTATCTATCATTACAGCAACAAACATGTAAACTTCGTTTAATAACTACTGTACATATCTTCGCTGTTTACTGTACTGTACATAACTAGCACTGTACATATCTTCGTTTGTTGTAGTTGGTGGCAGAAAAGTGGAGATATACGAACCTTAATGCTTAGAAGGGGAATCCCCTCCAAAAAATAACGGGTAGCACTTCATTGGAAGATTCTTCGAGTCGAAGTCTCTTTCGGTAAAAAAACCCCCCAGTGGCTAAGTGGTCTTCGTACCTTGAACACGGGGAGTTCGTTCGTGGGTTCGCACCTCGCTCAGACGGGCTGGCCACGTGGAGTTTTCCGGGATTTCTCCACGTCTGTAACGCCTAAATAGGGGCCAGTTTCCCTTAAAAACACCTCCCAGAAGGCATTCCCCTAGGCAGATCGCCCAAGTGTTGCGTTGCCATAACTTAACAAACAAACAAACTCTTTCCGTAAGGAACAAGAAATTGATCTAAAGTTAATTGTCTTACTATTTTAATCAAAATTTTTCTCAAATGCGATAGCGCGTTGTCGTTTTCTATTGCCACTATGACTTTTTTCTTTCTTGGATGCCATATTGATTAAATATATAAATCAAAAAACTGAAAAAAGAAGTATAGCACAAACACTCGGAAAAGTCATGCTTAACTCGCATGCCTAACACCAACTAAAATTTGACACAAAATATCGTTACGTTCGTTATCCGAAAGTTGTTCGTTATCCGAGACAAAATTTTTGCAAAATAAAAGTTCGTTAACCGATTTGGTCGTTAACCAGGACGTTCGTTAACCGGGGTTCCACTGTACTTTGTATTGCTTCGGGTCACATGGAATGTATAATTGTTCTACTATCTGGAATGTATAATTGTAATGTAAAGTGGAATGTATAATTGTTCTACTATCGTGTTTCCCCGAAAATAAGACATCTGCATAAAATAAGACCTAGCACAGATTTTGCTGAATTGCGAAATATAAGACCTCCCCCTGAAAGTAAGACCTAGCGAAGTTTTTTTAGTCATAACGGTCATCGACAGTTGTTGAAAGTGGCCGTTGGCTTTTTGAAAGTACAGCCACTGATTGGTCAGCAGACAATTACGCCACACGGCATGATTTGCATAAGACTATGGCTTCGGAATAACAGATTTGCATAACGTTACGGCTGGTGATGGCTAATTGGTCGGCCAGGAATCACGCTACATAACATTTGCATAGTGCTACGGTTCAGTAAGCACTAATTGGTCATCGAGTCCGATGTTGACGCTATAAAAGGGCGACAGTTCGACACACCGGATATACGTCACTCTCGTCTAAGTTCGACTTGGAAATTTTTTTGTTCAGTAATAAATGTGAATTCTTCTTCCTGGAAAAAATAAGACATTCCCTGAAAATAAGACCTAGCACATTTTTCAGAGCAAAAATTAATATAAGACACTGTCTTATTTTCGGGGAAACACGGTAGTGGTTTTCTGTATACTTCTGTGCTGATGGTCGAACCTTTAACCTTGATGCTGACATCAAGAAAATGAACCTGGGTGTAGCTCTCTTGTTCAAGACCCAGTGTCAATCCGTAAGGGTTGTTATTAAAGAGTATTGCTGAAGGGCATGGGTATAGTAAACTGATAACTACCTTAGCCAAAAAAATGCTTCATCTGCAAAGAGCAGATCGTCCGGAAACGCTAGAGAAAGAACAGAAGGAAAGAGTATCGATAACGTATAATCCGTATTTGNAGAAATCAACATACTTAAGAGTATTGCTGAACGGCATGGGTATAGTAAACTGATAACTACCTTAGCCAAAAAAATGCTTCATCTGCAAAGAGCAGATCGTCCGGAAACGCTAGAGAAAGAACAGAAGGAAAGAGTATCGATAACGTATAATCCGTATTTGGAGAAACTATATAAAGAGATAGCTAAAAAAAGACAAGTTTTCATCGTATTTAGAAGAGGTCCTACATTATTTCGACTGCTTAGTAATGCGAAAGATACTCCGCAACAAGACATGATGGCTGGAGTATACAGCATCACAATTAGGGATCGCAGATGCGATGAAGAATTGTTATATATCGGCTCCACGAAGAGATCTTTAGGAGTGAGGATTAAGGAACATAAAGCTGACATCCTCCACAAGAGGCCAACAACCGCCTTAGCACAGTACGCCACGGACCCTGAGATACAACCATTATTTGATCAAGCCAAGATAATATACACCACGCACCAAACACAATATTTGCGCTTGATGGAAGCGATTTTTATACATAAAGCAACTCAGGGTAACAATTGTATAAACAGCAAAGATGAAATATCATTATCAGTAGCGTGGCAAACCCTGATATATGACACATAACGGGAGGAAACGTAGGCTCACAACAGCGCATGCGCAAAGGATGACGACGATTGCATGAGTTTCGGAGAAGTTCCATGTTCGGAATTCTTTTAAAAAAAGATCGTTTCAATCGAATCTTAATGGATTTGCCTATTTTTCACCTGAAGAAGAACCAAAAGATTCGAAAACGTTAGTGAAACAAATTAAAGCGATTTAAGCACCGTTTTGGTTATTCTAGAAGTAAGTCTGTTGAAGTTATGGTGTGTGTTGGAAGTAGTATTGTTTACCCGATCTCACACTCGCATACAGTGCCAAATATAAAATACAAAGGAAATATACCATATTTACTCGCATATAAGATGAGTTTTTTATTCATTTATCACAGCTTCAAATTCCTAGATCATCCTAGATGCACAAGTGAAAGATTCTTTGCATTTTTGCAAATAATTTTTGTGAATTGTGTATTTGCATTTTTTATTGGATGCTTACCTTCTTGTATTTAAAAACATAAGTATTTTATCTGGGTCATTTGAATAGTTCTTGTATATTGTCAGGAGTAAACATAAATAGCAATAGGAAAAGCAAACTTTTTGAATTGAATTCCAGATTGAAATTCCAAAATCACACAGGAGCCCAATATAAGTTTTAGTCCATTCCACGTGAAAACAGATGATTATTTGGAAATCAGAATTCAGAGAAACTCATAAGCGTAATCAACAGAGTGGGTTAGACTGTTAAGAATTGGGAAAAAAAAAGTTGCTGATTATCCAGCTTTACATGAGAAAATTATGTTGTCAATTTTACATGATTTTTCCTTCAAGTTTAAAATGCTGGTAATTTTGTGGGACAATGTGTGCATTTACGTTTACTTGATATTTTTCTTGTGATTAAATTAAAACTGTATTAATAAATCTAATTTTCTTTATTTTGATCTTTAAAGTCACACCTCATCCTATAAGCAAGGTCGTCTTATATGCAAGTAAATACGGTAATGTCTTTCAGCATTAAACTTGTTTACTTGAAAATTTAAACAGATGCAAGCACTTTTGACATTTCAAAATGCCATCATCAGGCAAACATAGCATATACAATATCTGAACAAAAATTAAAAAAATTTTTTTACATTGACAGATTCTAAGAATGCATTCCAAACCTAAATGCATAAAATCTCCTAGAATTCAAATGGGTTTGATAAAGTTTTAATTCAAATTTAAGATTAAAAAAAAAAGGATATTCACAATAAATGCAAAAGAGTAGTTATAAAATAAGGACCAGCAATTTAGATTTATTGGCCCTGACCAGAGTGATGTCGTTTTATTGCATCCATCTGCTGGTGCGTTGTAGTTTACTTCTCAATTCTGCCACTTCAGAAAGTTCTTTAGTTTTTTTAATTTTAAGCGAGGTCATCCATCTATAATATTCTTTTTGTATGTCAAGCAGGCCTTCTATTAGGTTTTCTAAATCGGGAATGAGGTTCATAGTTCCAGCTTTAGGAGGGGATGCAACAAAATGACATCACTCTGGTCAGAGCCGATAAATCTAAATCGCTGGTCTTTATGGAATGTGCCACATATGAGCAAAGATTAACAGAATATGTTAATCTAACCCAATGTGATAGGTTGGATTAAGATCTTTTTGGCAAACTACAATCTAGGGTCAAGCGATTTGCCTGTTCCAAACTAATTAATCACCTGGCATTAGGTAACATAAAATAAAATATATGGTTAAATAAATAACAAAAATAAAATGTAGACATTTTAATGAATTTAAATAAATTAATAAGAATATAAAGATTAAGGTTTCAAGTTTTTGTAAAGTGTTATTCCTGTGTCAGGTAGCTCAAAACTGGGTGTGTTGCATGGTTCTACCAAAGATATAGAGTTTAACCCAATTATAACGTCATCAGATGTAAAGACAACCCTAATATAATGTCAAATTTTTTATCAGTTCCATGATTTTATTATACTAGATAATGTTAAAAAAACCCACTTGTAACAATAACATAAAACCCTGTTTTAACATCATATTTGAAGCACTCTCAAATTTACAAAATTAAATTACAAATTTTATTTAACAAAGAAAATACTACACGTTCAGTCCTAGGGTCAGAGTCCACTTCCGAGAACAACTGTGGATGGTACTCTCACCACCTGACTTCAGTGGGGTGAGGTTCGCCACACTTTTGAACGACGTGACGATCAATTATCATGTACTCATTTTTAAATTACTTTATGCTAAATTGTTAAATATTCTATTATTTTTAATATAACATATTATATCAAATAGATTATAAAGAAATAATTGAATTATCTTTAGTTGGCATACATTAGTTTAACCTTTTGTTCCCTTTTGATTCAACATTATTCTGAAAACTGAAAGTTTTGCCATTACTGAAACCCAAGACAAATAGAAATTTCTTATAAAAAGTAATTTTTGAAATTTTTAATTACATCGATGTAAACTTAGACATAATAATGTAAATAAAGTTGATTTAAACAAGTAGTTTGCTATTGTGATAGTTTAATCTATTATGATAATGATGATAAATTATCATTATCATAATAGATACAATATACTGTATTACCATAAAGAAATAATTTTATGGTAATACATACGATGTTAAATTAGAATGGATTTTATAATAGATTCTTAAACACACTTGGTACTTTTTATGGGACTGAAATTATGACCCCACAGATAACGACATCAAAAAGTTGCCAGTCCCATGGATGATGTTATAATTGGGTTAAACTGTATATAATGACTCCCAGAAGAACAAAGTTCTGAGATCCAAACATCACTTAAGAAGGGAAGTTTCAAACCATAGTGGTGTAAAATTATTTTCTAATATATTCTTGGCAAAGTCAATAGAGACATTGTTATTTTTGGCATCATACTGGTGTTCATTTAAACAGCTTGCTAATTTTCTAGTTGTGGCATCTATGTAAAAATTTTCATCTGTAAATTTTCGTCCNTATTTATTTATTTTTTCATTTATTGAAGATCTGTCCCAGCTGTTAGACTCGTAGAAATTAGTTCCGAATGTCTTTTTTGATATAAAGTGGGGATCAAAAATCGGTCCTCACTTTTCTTCGGTTCTCATTGAAAAGGTGTTTATTTAACCACCGCTCCTTATAAGTGGTTCCCTCCAACATACGCAAATCCAGGAATCTTTTTCTGTCGGAGATTTGTAAAAACCCCGGAGGGTCAAATTTGCCACGATTACGGCACTTTCCCATATTATATATACGTAACAGGTGAAAAAGTAAAATAATAATACTGTAATATAATAAAATAAATGAAGAGGAAAATGTTGCTCAGCTAAATTAGTAAAAACGACTATACACCCTCGTAGATTGCAGAAAACGTGTATAAATTCATAACCTCTCGAAGTCTTTTGTTAGCCGGAATAAAAGAAAACTACGAAGTAAGCTGTTTTATAAATAGAAAAACTTTTCTATTAATCTTCTTTATTGCCACACGTTTTTATGGAAATTATAATAAACGATTTTCGACCGTAAAGCACGAAAGTTCGAATTTCATACAATTAGCATGGAAATTATTCGGAAATATTCCTGGCATCTTTAATTATTTAAGAGATTAAACCAAGGAAAACGTCACGCACATAAAATCGACTTTGTATTCTTCGTTTTTTAGTTAAATCTTACTATTTTTACACGTATTTGTCACTTTATGTAGAGAGCTTAAAAGAAAAAAAATATGCATTTCGAATTAGGATTTTACTTTCAACGTTCGGTGGTTTTATCCACTCGTCAACCGATGGACCGAGGTGTATAATAAGTTTCTATACATTAAGCACGAGTAATGGCAGTTATGGATTTATACTTTAATAATACCTTAATTAGGAACGAGTCAAATAGTCAATCTATTACGAAAATATTGCTCTATAGCGATTTGTGTTAGCAAGATTTCGCGGATAATTCAATGATTTTTATAAAGGAATATCGCTCAGATGTGTTGGATTTGAGACAGAAATGAAACGTTCGACTGAAAAATACAATTTTCTTTTATTGCTTTCCATAAAAATATACGTCCAATCATCGAAAAATAATTCTACGTCAGCTTAATTTTAGTTCACTAAATTAACTCGGAACTATTATTTACAAAGCACTTATTAGTCGATGGGAATGCAATTTACACAGAACTTGTTATTTAAATGGAAACGAACATTCGTCCGAATTTTCACGGAGGTTCCAAGCATAAATATCCAAAAAAGACGATAAATTCGAAGGAATATATACGTAAATGTCCTTTACATTCTGGCCGGAAATACTCTGGGCTTGTCACACGTGAAATCCTTTCTGGAAAAGAAAGAAATTTATGAAAATTTTATAAAAATTACGAAAAAAAAATTTAAACAAAATTACTTATTCTCTCTTACACTTTTAAACGCTAACACAAAAATTAGCTCTGGTCATTGGTAAAAATTATAAACGTTGATGATTGCGCCTATCGACCAAATCAAAATAAGATTAAAACTGAAATCAAACAAATAAAACAAAATGTAATAATGAAATGAAAAGGTGAACTGGTGCCAGGAAGGAGTTATTTGCAGCGCGACCTTGAAAATGGTTTCGGAGGAGCCAACGAATAGTCTCGATACGTAAACACGCCAGACTCGCGGGCCAAATTCGATTGCATACTCACTGTTCTCTCTTCTCGCAACACTGACATAACCCGGGTAACGTGGCCAATTCTTCTCCGTCTTCCAAACTTTCCGGCAAACTTCTGTTCAGTGTCTCCGGCAGAAAAATCATCACCACTGCCGCCAGAGCAGATATGGCACCGAACACTAGTAAAGGTAAATAACGAGCGTACATGGCCTGAAATTGAGAAGAATTAACAATTTTTCTATGACAAAACTCGAGAATTTAAAGATTAACTCACCAACATCACCACCACCGGACTGAGAAAATTTCCCGCCGATCCCAACGCCTGTCGAATGGCTAAAGCTTGAGTTCGGACCACGGTGGGGTACACTTCTGCGGCATACAGATAGTTTACGTTGTAACCCGCGGTTAGAGCTAATCTTCCAATTACTAGAGACGTAGTTCTGACGGCGAACGTATCTGCAATAGAGAAATTTGGATATTGTACACGACTGGTCGCGAGCGGTCGACTTACGGATAGAAAGGGCAACCTTTGGGAACTGCCGCGATGCTCATGTAACTCAAAGCTGCCACCAACAGACTGCTGACTGCGGTGGGTCTTCTTCCGTATTTGTCGGCTAATCGATCGGCTATGGCATTGGCCACGATGTCCAGAGCGGAATTAGCTGTGATCATCAAGAAAGGGTTGTCGGAAACTGTAGCGGCGTACACGTAACCTCCAGTAAAACACAGAGACGTACACATCCTGCCAGAACAGACTACGATTCTTAGTGATTGAGCACCGAATGTTAATTAAATATTCTATAGACACGCCTTTACCAGGATACGTTGGTAAACAAAAATATCCTCCTCATGTTTGGTTTCTTCAGCATGTCGAATAACGTATGCTTCTTTCCTTCGGTTTTGACGAGAGGAAACTGAGAAACGATTAAAATTGTTATAATCTAATCCACGTAAGGCCAATATTAAAAATGTTCTTGCACTCACCTCCATCGTATCGAAGAATTCCGGAGGAAAATCCTTATTATTGATTCTAGACATGGTCTTCAGTATTTTTCGGACTCGATCGAAACGTTGTTTGGCAACCAACCATCTTAAAGATTCAGGGATGAACCTGAAGAGAAACCAAAGAGGGCAGTTGCCATTTAAATAAAATATACGCGTATCGTGCCACCTACAGAAATTCAGCAACGTTTACTCTGATTAATATTCCGGATTCTTCTCAACCTTTCCCTTCTGCCTTCGCTATGCGGGCCCTGAAATAATGGCAATTGTTAAAGAAGAATACTTCACCTCCAGTTAAAGAACCCAGCTTTCGTACTATTGGCAGAATTATTTTACACTAAAAGGATCGTCGAGTACTATTATTTAAATTCGGAATTTTAATCGTCGACTTTACGTTTCTAGGATTGGAAAGTTCTCCTCGAACTAGTGTACGGGATGGGTTATTTGGAGAGAGAAGAATAATTCTCTTACTTGAATAACACGGGCACGACGAAGAGGGGAACGGACACGACGAGGTTAATTGTCTTCCAGTCTCGCAGGAAATAAGCAATCCAAGGCAGGATACAACCTAGAAGAGGATAGGCGAAAAGATATCCGCTCGAGACAAGCAATCTGTGCTTTGATCCCACGTATTCCATGACTGTAATGTTATAAAACATATTAAAAATATATAAGCACGCGTGATTGTTTATTATAGTAAGGATTCTACGTTGACTAATTCCCTTCGGGTAAATAAACCGGCGAGGTATTATTAGCAACGATGACGTAACAAAATGTTTACCTCCTTACCTAAGACGTAGGCAGTCATACTCTGAGAAATCACCATGCACCCGATGATAAATCTGACGATCATAAACCAGGTAAAATCGGTGACGAAATTAGTGGCACAACTAGCGACGGCACACACAGCGTGTCCCACTACAAGAACGGGCACGCGCCCAAACCTGGAATCGAAAATACGTAAATTAAGAGCTAAAAAACCCGGGGAAAAAGACAAAAATATATATATATTATCCGGCACTTACATGTCGGCTATGGTTCCCATAATCAATACGCCGACCGCGGTTCCACCCCAGAAGACGGTGTAAGCAAAATAAGTCCTCCAAGCATCGTCGCAAACCCAATTCAACTGCCGGACACGAACGGTTAATCGAGAAACACAGGGTAAACTAATAATACAAAAAGGTACTCACCTCGGAAACTAACGTACTGTAAACGAGAGTGTAATTGTAGTCCCAATTTTGACATTTGACTGGGAGACGGGTGACGTTTTCGAAGGATGGAGAATCGTTAAATCGATAGCGATAACAGCGACTGTATCTCAACTGACCTTCTACCTCTTCCAGAGGGATGGCGAGGCTCTTCTTCTCTTCCAGACTAGCGTTACCCGGTAAATCGGATAAGTCGCACCAGTGATCCGGAGTCAACAGCAGCAACATGTTACCGTAGATGACGAATGCCAGAAAGGGGGAGACCAACAGCCACAGGAAGAGTGCCAAGAGCTGCTGATAACGGCCGAACTGTCCGAAACGGTCGAGGAAGGAGTCGAAATTCGTCTCCCCCTCCTTATTATTGTTTACTAAAGGAGCGCAGTCGACTCGAGGTAATTCGCTCTCCATCCCGACTTCTATCGATCTGCTTCTAACGCGAATGCGACGGACGAACGTAACCGTCGAAACGGCGCATGTCCGGAAGTGGGAATGTTCTTCCTCTTTATTTTTAAATTTATTTGGGGGATGTTTAAGTTAATTAAGCACGAATTAATTTACTCTTCCGGACATTCGATAGTTCGTTGAACTAAAAAAAGAAATTGCCTCTTAGTTATATTAAAACGATGCTCGCGACTGCAGCCGGAACTTGACATTTTGACATTCAAAAGCCGTAAGCGACGTAATAATCAACTTCTTAAATACGTCACACCAGTAAACAAAGAGAAAGGTGTATAATTTTGCAAACGACAATAGGAATTCTTTTAGTTGTTTACTAGTATGAATTTTTAATAGATTCGTAAGCGAGGAAATTCTTTATTTCCGTATAAATAATGAGTTAAAATGTGATATAACGAAGCGGAAAGAATTCAAGCGTCACAATAAAGCGACATCCAACAAAGTTTTAATTAAAACAGGATTATAAGCGACAAACATCGAACTGGTGGCGAGTTTCGCAATTACTCCGCTGGCGGGATTAAATACTGGTTTCCAGTCGATGCCTGTAATTAATTAACAGAAAATTATGCAGAAACTAGGCCCGCCTGTCTAAGGTTCCTCCAAATATTTACTTTTTTCGTTATTCTTCTCTCGGTCGTACCCCTTCTTCATCACTCCGTATCATCTATCGGATGGAATTAATTAATTAAGTGCGATACTCGTGTCGATAATCGACCTTTCGAGGTTAATTAGGGAGGTAAACGACTGTCTAATTGACATGGAAATAGAATAAAGTCGTCTTTAGAAGCCGTATCGTTTCTTAGAAACGTACAATACTGTCCTTTTCTGCGTAACGTTAAATGCGGGGACTTTTTTTAGTTGTTTATAGCCAGGAGAATGTGTATAGGCCTAAAATTACACGACACCTGACCTATATATTTAATTTATATTGTGATACGAATGAATAATCGTAATTAATATATTTTTAANGCTATAAAAGTACTGTGTTATACGGGGGATGGTACCAATTCTCGAACCGTGTTAGAGCGAATCCATGCTATAGAAGTGCCGTGTTATACGGGGGTTACCTGTATTTCAATTTCTTGTGAGCCAAATAACTACAATTGATTTGGTACAGAGGCAATGTTGGTTTATTTTCCATACATATGACATTATAAGGAAAATATTGAAAAGAGAAGTTGACCAATTTTTTGTGCAACCTCTCTTAACTGTATGAGCAAACTCCTTAATAAAGACATATATTTTATATATAGCCAAGATACCTATAATGTAAATAAAGTCTAACAAAAGGTATATAAAACAACATAAATATCAAGATGATTCTATTAGGTATGCAATTAAAAAAAAAAACTGCTAAATTATTTATTTGGCTGTAGCAAGGCTAATTGAATGATTAGAAATAAAGTAATTTGGATATAGGCAGTTAGGCTGCATATCTGTAACCAAGTTACTTTATCTCTAATCATTCAATTAGCTTTATTACAGCCAGATAAATAATCTAGCAGTTATTTTAAATCAAGGTAATTATGCTAAAAAACAGCATATCAATGATGACATCATTGTCATTATCAGTTTACTCTGTTAAAATCTTTTGTTTACATTCTAAAATACTCAAAAATTAATATATTTGATCTACTCATAATGTTTTAATGGTATTATGATGAAAATTTCACATTGGATATTTATTCTAAGAAAAAGAAAGCAATAAACTGTTGCAAACAACTGCAAGGACAGTTGATAGGTAATACTTACCAAAGAGGAAACCATATTTTTTTTGTAGTGATTTTGGTATTTTTTCATATAAAATATAAATTTTCTTAACATTTCAACATCATGAGAAGTTCAGAAATTGATAATGCTCAAATATTTTAGAATAAGTCTACACGAACCATCGATTTCATTTGTCCACAAAAACGGACGACTTGAAAAATGTCTCAAGTATAGATATATTAGTTCCAATAAAGAAGTAATTTTGTATTTAAAAATCAAATTTATTACATAAAAAGTTTTATCGTCTCAATCTAATAGTTTGTCTTAAAAAAAATTTCAAAAATGATATTAAATGTTAATCCAAAAGTTTTGAATTTTTTTCTTAATATCATTGTGCGCTATTCTTCAATTTACAAAGTTTAACATTTCAGATGATGTCAGAACTGATGTTCATATTGTATTTTGAGTCTTTTAATATTAAGAACACTTTTAAGATGGCATTAATTTATATATATAATACAATGCATATTTGACATTAGTTCTTTTTAGTTTCAACCTGGCCTTTCATATTTTATTATAAAACAATGAAAAATATCACAAATTTGTCTTGGAATTTATAATTTTGGCTAATTAAACTAGGATTATTTACACTTACATAACTGAAATATTATGTTGCAGTTCCAAAGTATTTAATGTCCAGTTTAATAAATCAAGGCAGACATTTTCCTTTAAAGAAACAGACAGCTTATTTGACCTTAATCAGATTTTTTTGATTTATTAATTTCAATTTTATATCCATTAACCGTCTATTCTGAAATAAATAAATACGTGTATTTTTTAAAAACTTATCATCAATGATAAATAGTAGGAAATTAAGCAATAATAGAATGACAACTTCTATGAAAGAACTCTTATTTAGGAAAACAGTTATCAGGATTGAACCTAGTAATAAAAAATTTTAAAAGATGTAGGCAATTTCACTTTTTTTCACAATAAATTTTTCAGATTCTAGAATTCCCTTATAATTTGGGATTTTTTTTAATTATGTACTGCATTTCAATAGAAACATATCACATTATTTTTGTTGGAGAAACCATTATCATCATCATCATCATCATCATCATTATCGATATATTAATCAAAAGAGGGTTTCGGTCTGTCTGGCTCAGTCAAAGTACACGGCCGTAGCTAAAACTACGGTTCGAGTAGCAAATTAAAGCTCTCGCCCCGCAGACACTGCCGCCGAAGAGAAATTTCGAAAAGATGTGACGGTTCTGGCATGGCGAAGCGGCAAACGTACGACACCGAGTCTAACGCCCGCATCGACTTTAGTCCTAGCAATTTCATTATCGTAAGTACAAAAGGTGAACGAACGCACATTTTGTTTACTGAGACCACGGTTTTTATTGTTCTCTCCCATCCCCTCAAAATTCCAAGCAACACCGGGCACGTGCAGCTAGTTATTTATATATATATAAAAATGGATGTGTGTCCCTATATTTCACTTTTCAGCCAAAACTACACATCACACATGAATGGTGTTTGTATGTGGTAGTAGCCCAAGTCTCCATTCGTGCACTATGGTGGTTGCGTCTCAATAGCTATAAGGGTGCGGGAGATATGGGGGCTTAAAGTGGTTGACTTCGAAGATTTTCTATTTCAATTTTAAAAATGTTTGAACCGTTTTAAATTCGAATTTGAATTTAAATTCGAATTGGTTCGATTATAGAACGATTGTAAATGTTCCAGAAAATTGATCAAATTGAAAATAGTTCGTTTGACTGGACGTAAAAATTCTCTAATTAGTCTGGAAACGGGGGACCTAATTTTTGCATTTTGTGCTATAAGGGTGTGGGAGATATGGGGTTGAAAGTGGTTGACTTCGAAGATGTGTAACAATGGAAATGTCAACAATGGAAGTATCAATAATAGAAGTGTTAACAGTGGAAGTGTTGAGTAACAAAGGAATGTTAACAGTGAAAGTGTTGAGTAACAAAGGAAGTTTTAATATAAAGTGGCATGCAAGATTTACAGGTTGTTTTTTGCGGGAAATCGAACATATTTTTAGACTCGTGTAAAAATTCTCTAATTAGTCTGGAAACGGGAACCTAATTCTTGCATTATGTGAAAATGGGTAAGATTGGCTATAATGTAATTATCTTAATCTTCGCTATCGTTACTTTTTGCCCAGCGAAGCGGGTCCTTGCAGCTAGTTATTATAATAAAAATAACACACAACTTTTTTGAACTAATGTATAAATCGTAGTAATTCGATCACTATAATTTATAAATTATTATTAAACCTTCCAGGACGAAATTCCTTTTACATGACAAAATCTGCATTTGAAAGTTTATCACGTATCATATTCCAATCATATCGCTTCTCTCTTCTTTCTCACGTTACTCACTACATCGTCGGCCACTTCTCTTACTTCCATTAGTCTTATATTTGTTGTATTTAAAGCGTAAAAATGAAAATTACCAGTACATATTCAAACGGCTTGCGATAGAATTATATAAGGAGAATGTAGTAACGATGCGCTAACTTATCGAGTAATTTTATTTACGTCACAGATGTTAGCTATGACGACGGAGTCACAGGCGCAAGACTCGGTGTAAATTCGAAAAGTAAACGAAATTAAATACTTCAAATAACGATTGCTGTTTGAAAACAAACGTAAAGATATTTTAAGAAGAAGTAAAAAGAATCGTCGCTTACTTCCAAATTCCTATTTCTTACTAGAAGGAAGCGTATTCCGAAATCTGTCAACACACGATCCATGTTTTGATTCGCCGCGACCCCTCTCGTCTACAAATGGCAATATACGTTTCTGTATTTATTTATTTTTTTAATATACAGTATAAAATTCCGTCGGGATTCTATCCCGGGTCCTTGCAGCGGTAGGCTTTCGCCTTAAGGGCCAACCCACCATCTGATTAAATAATTTTCGTAAGAAAAAATAAAACTTCGTTAATCTGATTTAATCGTCGCCGGATGGCCGAGCGGTTATTAAGGTGTCGGGAGGATCGAAAAACCACAAGAATTTTCAAATGTGCGCGAGCCTCTAGGAGAGTCCGAACCCTGACTAAAATTCGCGTTAAAATATTTTTAAAAGAAATAAACTAAAAATAATTTTTGTATGAAAAACGCGACGCTAATGTATAAACAATAGGAGAATGTAAGTTCTAAGATCGATCATTCCCGTTTAGGATCGAATTAAACGTCGATTTTGACCTCTCTCGCCAGTGCCGTAATTAGCCATTCCTGTGCCCTGTGCAAGAACTTGCATTTATGACCCTTAATTAATTAGGTTTGGGAAAATAATAAAACAAATACATGCATTTTGGGACTCTCTTCCAAGTGGGCCCTGTGCGAGTGCACCTGTTGCACCTGCCAAGTTACGGCATTGTCTCTCGCCATCTAAGTTGAGATCTCGTTGCACTTAGCAACGACTGATCAACTATTTGGAAAGCGTGAACCAGGAAAAGCCACCCATCGGAATGGGCGATCGGGGGCAGAAAATAATAAATACATCGAATTTTAAGAACGCGACGGCCTTTACTCCCAAAAATTTCAACTGTGGGACCAATTGTTGTGCTTGTGTCTCTTATCTATCTTCGTCTTCGTCACCTTTCTTCGGATCGACGACTTCCCTTACCGGAAGTCGACCGCATCGTTCCGGAGTCGTCGAAGGAACTCTGACTCGCCAACCACGGACACATTTATTTGAGACTATCTTAAAAAGAAGAAGACCAAGAGACCACCACCCACTTTTAACTTCTAAGACAGTGGAAATCTTGTAAGCTCCTTTCGTGTCAAATAAACGGTTTCTTGTGACTGTAGAGTCTGTCTCGGTACCGATCGCACCCACATATGACCCTCACGACGCCTCTGATCATCGCGCCCTCTATCGGCAATCTCGTGTGGTCCGTTCCGGATACTTCGGACCGCGTTCGTTAAAGTTTTACTTAATTACAGTTGAAAAGTTATTTCCAACGAGCTAGAATATACTACATAGTGGCTGAAACGACGACGTGTTTGAGAATAATTGAATACACGTTCGCCATTTTCCTTTTGGTCAACGGACGTGGCATCTGCATTGTGTAAAGGCAACGAGCTAAAATATTCTAACTCGTCGATAGCA